GGCTGGTGCGCGAGATCGCGCAGGACTTCAAGACGGACCTGCGCTTCCAGAGCTCGGCCGTGATGGCGCTGCAGGAGGCGTGCGAGGCGTACCTGGTGGGGCTGTTCGAGGACACCAACCTGTGCGCCATCCACGCCAAGCGTGTCACCATCATGCCCAAGGACATCCAGCTGGCGCGCCGCATCCGCGGGGAGCGTGCGTAACTCGCTTTCATTACTGAGGTAACCGAAAAGCAACTCAAAGGCTCTTTTCAGAGCCACCTACAGTTAGTTAAAAGAGCTGTGCATTCGTAGCTTACTGTTACAGGAATTCAATGCGTTATGTAAAAAAATGTGGTCCGTGTCACTGCTGAAAGTGCACTGCATTACAATTTGTCTAGTCATTAAAGCCAAACATGCTCTTTATACAGGTGAGTAGGAGTTTGTCTCATATTTGCTTGGAACCCTTGACACAAACCTAGTTTTTCTCAACTAAAGTGTGGGGTCTTTTACATTATAACGGCTACGCAGGCTCTGGTTTTTGCAGCTTCAGCCGAGAGCTTCAACGGAACCCCCCTGCCTCGGGCCGTTAAACACTGGAGGTCCTTCAGGAGCGAAGTGAGGAGGTATAGAATTTGAAGACTCCCATGCCTTGGCAGAAACTACAGTCTGGCTTTCCAGCAGTTGAACAATGGCACACTGGCTGTAGGCAATCGTTAGTTATGGAACCCAGGGCATTGCACGAACAGCTCAGGGCAGAATTTTTGCACCTGGAAGCAGACGCAAGTGACAGCACCACAGGGTGAGTGTGATGTGACTTGATTCACCAGGGTCATTAGGCTCCTAGTCCTCATTGGAGCACCTCTGCATCTTTCCCAAATAGTGGTAGTTCAAGGTTTAAGGCAAGGTTAAATTTTAACAAAAAGTGGGGGTGGTGTGGGGGAAGAAACAAAACCATCTCTGTACCTGGAAGTTCTTAACAGCTGTATTTGTAGTAGCTCTGAAGTGGCAACAGCTTAGCAGTTCCACCGACACAGGGTCACACAAACGCCTATACATCCACACAGGTGAATCCTACCGGCAGTAAAAAAGGAGGCTATTGATACATGGAACAAGTGGGCTGGATCTCAAGGGCATAACTGTTAGTGACAAATGGCTAATCTCAAAGATCCATGTTGTATTATTCCATTGATGTAACAGTCTCAAATTGAAGAATCCAGAGATGGATAACAGGTTAGTGATTGACTCAGGACAGAGGAGAGGTGGGTGCCTGGGAGTATAAAGGGTAACACCTGGAGTTCCTTGGTGATGATGGAACAGTTGTTCCAGCTCTGCGGTGGTGGTTCCAAGAATCTACTCATGGGAGAAGGTTGCACAGGACCCTCCTCACTTAACAGACACGTAAATGAGAGCGTATTCAAGGATAATTATGTAGGATATCGCCATTAGGTGAAACAGTTCAAAGGACTGTTTCAAATTAACAAGGTACAAGGGGAAAAAAAGCTGTGAGAATTCTTTAGCATTTGGTACTTTGTATTGCTTAGGATTCTATGGCTTCCTTAACAAATCAATGCGATTCTTTTTGTAAAGCAGCAGTTTGTTGCTTTTTTCTGGGTCTCATTGTGACATATCCATTTGGTTGGGATTTGGTTCATTTATGTTGGTATATGATTTTGGAGATATTGCTGCCCCTACCTCAAAACGAAATTGAGTTTCAAAAGTTAATAAGAGTTAACCCATGGTGCATGCCACAGTGTGCTTGTTACATCATAAATGCACAATGGTAAAGAAAAAACATCACAGGCCCAAAATGCTGTCCCTCGTGCTAAATGCCCAAGATACCAAACCTAGATTTCATACCTGATCTAACTGCAGTTTCAAACTGTTAGAAATGTAATCAACCAGTCTGAAGTTTTCTGGTCAAGCACCACCAGTAAGGAAGGAGTATACTTTGTGAGCCCTCTTGAACCCCTATCTCATGCAAAAGAGGCAATCTGCATGATAAAAACCTCTTTTGGTTTTTGCTGAAAAGTTTCGAGTCGACCTAAAATTACGCCTTTCTTGTGTTAATAGCTCCCATGCCCCACCTTTGTTCCTTTGAAAACCTTCCATTTTGTAAAGCCCATCTGATGGGTCCTTCTAGGTGCTAAATCGGATGCTGTCCAATTCATGGATCGCTTAATAAAGACAGAGCTTCCAATTTACTCAGCTCAATTGATTTTTAACAGTACAAATCATCTATATTGAACACTCTATTGCATTCTAAAGACATTTATATATTAATGTTCTTATATACTAGCTCAGCATTTTTCTTCTTAATAATGGAAAAATCTAGGAATGCTCACATTTTTATTTCTGGCACTTGCATAAAATTCCTTTGCATAGCTTCAGAGTTTAGGACAGCTTTCTGTAATTCCATGCACCAGCCCCGGGAAAGCACAGTCTCCCCTCCACCCTCTGTCCTACACGAAAGGAATGGCATTAGCCTCTGGCAATTTTCATCTTTTTCCTCTTCAATCCTTCGTTTTTAAATGCATATGTTTAGTGTAAATGATAGTGCTGGACATACGGCGTTATATGGGAAATGTTTTGAAATCCTTCCATGTGCTTTGGTCCTGTCTGTACTATAAACCTTTTGGTTTTAAAAACATTACCAGGGCGATAGATAGGATTTTATTGCCAACAAACTAAATGCCAGTCATTTTGCTTTTACGACCGTTATCAACAGGTATTTGTCCTTTTAGAGACAAGGCCACTAACACTCCGATTAACAAACAAGCCTATTAACAGCTTGAGAGCAGCCACTCAGGGACTCCAAACCCGAAGCCTGGGTGGGTTGCTTAGAAATGTTTTTGAAAATTCCTGTTTCTTGGTATTTGGGCCTGGTCAAATCCTGTTCCATTCCAGGGTGGAAAAGATCCAAGAATATGCATGAGAGAGACAGCTCTCTAAACACACACAAACGAGGTAGTTTCTGTACGTGTTTGACACCCCTGATTAGAATCATTTTCTTACCAGAAAATGCTCCAACCCCGCGTTTACTAGGGGCGGGGACTCGGTGGTTTTCCGCCTTCGCGGGTCTTTCTGTTTCAAACGAGGTCCGCCCACTTGTTATTTAAGAGGCTGCAACGGCCAGATGGGGCAGACATCGCAGAATCTGGTCCTCCGCCATGTCTGGTCGCGGCAAAGGCGGCAAGGGGCTCGGCAAGGGCGGCGCCAAGCGCCACCGCAAGGTGCTGCGCGACAACATCCAGGGCATCACCAAGCCCGCCATCCGGCGCCTGGCCCGACGCGGCGGCGTCAAGCGCATCTCCGGGCTCATCTACGAGGAGACCCGCGGGGTGCTCAAGGTGTTCCTGGAGAACGTGATCCGGGACGCCGTCACCTACACGGAGCACGCCAAGCGCAAGACGGTCACGGCCATGGACGTGGTGTACGCGCTCAAGCGCCAGGGCCGCACCCTCTACGGCTTCGGGGGCTGAGTCTCCCTCCACCCGTGAGCTCGCCTAATGCAGCAAAACCAAAGGCCCTTTTCAGGGCCACCGAACTCCTCAAAGAAAAAGCTGTGATAACCATTTCCTAAGACACTTCTCTGCTGTTCAACGGTATTTAAATGTAGTGGAAGACGTTGTATTCCTAACTCGGAAGAAAAAGTAAATTCAGCCGGATTTCCTGAACTCTGTAATCTCACTTATCAATATTCTGTATTTCCCTCAGTGTCAGGCCTGCCGCAGGTTAAGTAGCCATCAATGCTTTTCTCCAAGATGCAGATTTTTTTAAGTTGGCTGAATTAGTAGTCTGAGGACCTACTTTTAAAAACGTTAGTATTATTGAATTGTGCATAATAAAAAGGGAAAGTATTTGATTATTGCAGGTAGTTTAAGAGGGAGATTAGTTTGCGGAAGGGAGTGGGGGTGGGGAGTGGGGAGGTGGTGGCCGGGACACCCGGGAGCCTGTCCCGCGGGAGGCAGCTAGCTCCTTTCCACACGCAGTCAGGCCCTGGGGCACAGAGCTGGAGACCCGTGAGGAGTGAGGACACCGGCTCCCGGACCAGGTCATTTACAGGGAGCGGTCACTTACAAAACGGCTTGGCCTCAGGCTGGGGGGGTGGGGGGCAGCCTGAGGACGGGAACGAGCGAGGCCCAGTTAGCGCCATTTAACCCCAGAGATTCCAAGTGTGCGGGTGACGGCGCTCAGCCCGGCGCCGGGGGGGAGCCAAGTGTAACAACCCTTCCCTGACATCGCTTGGGGCCAACACATGAGGCTTCAACAACCCGCGTCTTGCTGGCTGGCGATGTCGGCTTTTAACACTGGGTTCCCGTGGGCGGCGGGCAGCACCGCACAGGTTTCTGCCATTTGCTCGTTCGCTGGGCCGACCCGGACAAACGCGCTCGGCGGCGCCCCGGGACTTCCGGTCCCTGCCGACGGCCTCGTCGCCGGCACCGCGGCTGCGGCGGGTCTCGCACAAGGACGAGGGGCGGGTGGGGGCCCTGTGGGCCCCGGAGCTTTACTTCGTCCACTGGGAGCGCGTTCTGCTAGTTCCTGCCTGACCCGCCGGAAGCCTCTGCTCCCCGTAGGGCCGGGGGCGCCGTTTGTCCTGGGTCCCTGCGCAGCCTGGCTGAGGACCGTGGTGACGGAGCCGCCGTCCCACCGGGAGCTCTCGCTGAAGGTAAACGCGCGCCGGCATGAAAGCCTATAGACGACCACAGAAATCGACTCGAAAGGCGCGCACAGCTCTTCCTGAGAGGCCGTGGGCGGCCCTGAAAAGGGCCTTTGGTTTTGCTCCAAAAAGCGAGCTCGCGGGTGAAGGGGGACTCAGCCCCCGAAGCCGTAGAGGGTGCGGCCCTGGCGCTTGAGCGCGTACACCACGTCCATGGCCGTGACCGTCTTGCGCTTGGCGTGCTCC